ACTATCCTTATACCTAATGCTCCTTCTCACATCCATTCGTCCCTCATCCCCGCATCTCACCTGATTTACAAGGGGCAGATGGAGTAAACTGAACTTGTTGCTTACTCTCTCCCTTCCTTCATCACCCTTTTATCATTTACTTTTCAAATACCTAGGTGAAGTAAACTGACTAGACTGTGGAGGAACAGCAAGAAAGCAACAACAATGGAGACAAAACACAATCATTTGATTTCACAATTGCAGAAACCAGTTCAGACAATATCAGTACCTTAGAGGCCGGATTAAAATCAAGGTCTGCATGTGCTGAGACAATTGGCTTATGTGGCATGCAGTAAGGATGGAGGCAGGTTACTGGACAGTGTGTTGACAAATCAGTTCTGCTGCACAGGACAGATGTCAGCATTTCAACGGAACAGCCTATTGAAGAAGGCTGAGACACAACAAAATATCTGATGCATCTGGAAGTCTGTCAAAGCCTATGGTTAATGTCGAGGAGCACAATGGAGTGCCTCATCACCATGATACAAGGCTTAGATGAGAGCTTGAAGCCCATCATTCCCAGCTCATGGGTGGTGGCCAACTCTAATCTCTTAAGGACTCAGCCATGATGTAATGCCTTCTGGCTGATGCCTCTGTTTCCATATCAGCAAGAGCAGACCACAAGCGTAGTGGAAGCTCAGACTGCTAAAATGCATCTTGCTACCATGCAAACTCAGGCAGCTGTTCTTCTTCCTGCTAAACACATGTTGGGCTGTGTGAGGTTAGGACAGTATGCTAGCTGGAGCATTCCACTCCAAGTGGCATTGTTGGTGTCATTCAACATAGCATGCTAATTGATGTCCTGATCTGCCTGCTCTGAATACTAATGGCAGAAGTACACTGCACATCAAGAGCCCTCACCAATGTTGTGTCCAATGTGCCTTATACCACAAATGTACGTGCACCCCACAGTTTCCATGTTAGAGCTCCAAGAGCATTTAGTGCTAGCAATCCCAATTTCTGAGTATTGTTTTGGACAGGCCAATGGGCTGAGGAGTGACAGGTGGTGTTTAATTTAGATAAATGTGAGGTGTTGCATTTTGGTAAGGCATATCAGGGAGGTCTTTGTACAGTTAGTGGTAGGACCCTGGGGATTGTTGCTGAACAAATAGACCTAGAGGGTGCAGGTGCACAGTTCCTCGAAAGTGGAAAATCGTTGTGTATATTGGAGGTCAGTCATCTCAGCTCCAGGACATCTCTGCAGAAATTACATAGGATAGTGTCCTAGGCCCAACCATCTTTAGCTGCTTCATCAATGACTTTCCCTCAATCATAAGGGTAGAAGTGGGCATGCTCATTAATGAATGCACAATGTTGTGCATCATAGAAAGTTCTATAGGTACATAAGTGGTAAAAGGCTGGTAACAGGGGAGTAAGGCTGAATCAGATAAAGAAAATGATCTACACATGAGGGTAGGGAACATGGCCAGGGAATCAAATGAATACTTTGCATCTGTCTTTTTCTAACATAAGGGAGATGCTGCCCAGGCCACAGTGACAGAGGATGAAGCTTAATCACTAGAAAGGTTTAAAGTTGATAATTTGGAGGAATTGGTTGGGTTGCTAGTAGTTAACGTTCATAATGCACTGGGACCAGGTAAGGTGCATCCAAGCATATTGAAACGAGGGAGAATGGAACTTGCAGAGGCACTGACAGCAATCTTTCACTTTGCCTAAGGCTCAGGGATGGTGGCAAGACTTGCAAATGTAATACCCTTGTTCAAAAAGGTTGCAAGGACAAACCCAGCAATGACAGACCATGCAGCTTAACTTCAGTGATGAGAAAGCTTCAATAAGTTAGTTAAGACAGAATAAACAGTTACACGGAAACATTTTGGTTAAGTAGAAAGAGCCAACATGGATTTCTTAAGGGAAAATGATATTTAGTTTACTTGCTGGAGAATTTTGAAGAGATAACAGAAAATGTTGAAGAGAGAAATGTGGTTTTTGTGGTGTACTTGGATTTCCAAAAAGTGCTCAATAAAATACCGTACAACAGGCTTGTGAGAAAAGGACTTTCTCTAGCAATTTCTGTTTTCATTTGTGGGAAATGTTGTAGGTCATGGAATAAATGAGACAGTGGCAACATGGATACAGAATTGGTTGAGGGATGAAAAACATTGAATCATGGTTATTGGATAGATTTTTGGCTGGAGGATGTTTTAGTGTGAAATTCTCCAGGGCTCATTTTCCTGATATATATTCATGAGCTAGATCTTGGTATGCAAGGGATCATTTACAAGTTTGCAGATGACACAAAACTTGAGAACATTGTAAACTGCGTGGAGGGAAGTGTAAAATTACAAAAGGACACGGATAATTTGGTGGAGTGGGCAAATCATACAATCCCTATAGTATGGAAACAGGTCATTTGGTCCATCAAGTCACACTGACCTTCTGAAGAGCATTCCACCCAGACCACCCCATAACCCCACACTTCTGCCAATCCACCTAACCTGCACATGTCTGGACAATGGCAGGAATTCAGAGCACCCAGAAGAAGCCCATGTAGACACGGGGAGAAAGAGCAAACTTCAAATAGATAGTTACCTGAAGCTAGAATCCAACCCATGTCCCTGGCCCTGTGAGGCAGCAGTGCTAACCACCTTATGAAAGGAGGCATGGCAAATAGAGTGAGCAGTTAGTAGAATATGTGGCATGCTAGCCAATATTACCAGGGCCATTGATTACAGGAGGAGGTTATATTGTATCTATGTAAGACACTGTTTGGACCTCAGGTGGAGTATTGTGACAGTTCTGTGCGCCACACTTCAGTGATGATGTGAATGCATTGGAGAGTGTGCAGAAGAGGTTAATGAGAATTGTACCAGGCATGAGAAAAGTCAGTTGTGAGGAAAGATTGGGGAAGATGGGACTGTTTTCCAAGGAGGGAAAGTGCTATGAGGAGATTTGATAGACGTTGTTAAATCATGAGAAGGCTGGTCAGAGTCAATAGGGACAAACTGCTGCATCTCATAAAAGGATCAAGAATGAGAATGTCCAATATAAAATAATTTTCAAATGTAGCATATGTGATGTGAAAAAAACTGTTTTTACACAGCAAGTACATAGAGTATGGAACATGCTGCCTGGAAGTGTGAAGGAAGTCGGTTTAGCTGAGGCATTCAAAAGGGTATTGGATGATAATAGCAACAATATTCAGGGCTATGGGGAAAAGGCAAGAGAGTAACACCCAGTCTTGATATACATTCAGAAAGCCAGAGCAGATATAATCATAAGATAAAGGAGCAGAATTAGGTCATTTGGCCCATCTAGTCTGCTCCACTGAATGAAAAGCCGAAAGGCCTTCTTCTGCACCATAACAATTCTATGGTTCATTTGATGTTGTGCCTGATGTGTGGCTAGTCTTTGTGATTGAAAACTGATTTAATGTACAAAGCATTGTAATGTATTGTATATTGTAAAGTGAGAAAATTTGGATAAAAAACTGATTGAAGCAAGAATTGTACGCATTTTTCTACCAAGCAGCTGTAATTGGTGCAGTCATGGAATAATATCATTGCACTCAGTGCTCTGTGAGAGATGCTTAAGGGATTAAATGTTTAGTGGGAATACATATATATATAGACTGTGGGACTGTGTAAAACCTGATCATGGGTTGAACGTTCCAGCATATTTTCATAATGACGCCATATGTACTTTAAATGCTTCAGCATTTCACTCCCATTTCCTTTCCCAGGAGACTTTGCAAGCTTTCTGTCAACATCTGTAAACAATAATTGATCTGCAATGACATCATCCCTCACAAACATGTAAGTTCAGGAGTAAAATCATGTTACAGTTCTACATTTCAGAACACAACTTAAATGGTACCTTAAACCAGTGACCAACAATCCTTTGAGATTATTTAATACTTATAGAGTGAGACCAATCCCTTTGAAGAAAAGGCCTTTGTGCTATTTTACTTCAAAGTAACAAAGTATCATAATTTAGAACAAATAATCTCCACAAAATACCCTTTGTCAGAAATCTTTTTATATACAAGAGTGGTGTTAAGATTTTTATCAGAACACATGCTTACAACTCAAAGCATAATGCCATGGAAATTACACTGTGTGATATTATCGCATAAAGGTTTAATGCACTCATATCAAATTTCTTTCACCATTATGTTAAAATTGATTTTAACCAATTTATTTTGCATTGACTAATATTGTTCTTAAAACAACAAAGGGATTTGCTAAAAGGCATTAAACAGCAAATTTATCCAGCCTGTCATCCTTGAGCAAAGCAGTACAACAACCTGAAGATAAGACTAATGTTGGAGACCTGATTCATTGATCCAAGTTCCCATCTGGTGAGATTTTGATCTGGAAAACCTGCTGATTTGGCCTCCAAGAATTTATGCGATAATGCCATGCTGTGTAATTTCAAGGCTATTAAGGATTACATGTTATTTTGAAAAATAGTAACATTCTAACATAGTTTGTTGTTCTTCCAAACTCTGAAAATTAAACCATAATAATTTACCTTAACAACATTCTTAAACTTGACCCCACCCACCCCCAATTATTCCTTCTCTGCTATGTGCCAGTTACTTCTTCTTTCATTTTTGGGGTGTTGGCACCAGAGCAGCTTTAAGACCAGTCGGCATATTCATAGTTATGTACATGGCATCTCTGTTTACACAGCCACTTGGGTTTTGCAGTTTTACTTTCCTCATCAGCATGAGATCCTTTGACTTTCTGATGAATTTTACATGAGGATATTAATTTGATGCTGTTTTATTGAACAATGATCATCAATTAAGGTTAGCTAACAAAAGGCATATCCCACTTTTAATCACAATTAACTATATCTCACCCTTATATTTCTCAGCCAGTTTCAATAAAATTAGAAATGCATATTTAAAATTTGGCTTGTTGACTATTAGCCCAAAATTAGGACATTCTCAAAATCTGTCTTTTCTGTGCAATTCATAATGAAGATTTGTACAATATTTAGTAATTGTAAACAAAAACACATAGAATGTAATTGTAGGTAAACGTGCTCACAGGGATGTGTCTTCTCTTAAAAGTTGGAGTGATGGATGGAGATGAGTTTGCGCTGAGAGCATTTTCAATGTCTTGGTCAAGCTGGTCCAGTTTCATAATGAGCAGCACCATGGAATCCAGCCGTGCCCGATCTCGATCTTCTCTCATTTCCTGAGGAAACAGACCCTGCAATTACAACTCACAGACCTAGAATCATTGAATCGTACAGCATAGAAAGAGGCCTTTCACTCCATTATGTCTATGCCAGTCTTTAAAAGAGTTTCCCAAAAGTATATTAGAAAAAAAATATCTTTTTCCAAAAGTACGGTACTGTATTTCTAGTCTTACAAATAGATTTTACAAGACTGAGAGTTGCAACTGTTGGAATGTTAGACGAAAATTGAAATCAGAAGCATTCCCATTTTATAAAATCCTGTTTTAGCTTGAGATAGATTAAATTTATAAAATGCGGAAGAATGTTATTAATTCTGTGCTGAGCCTCCAAGAATTTATGCAATAATGCTGCACTGTATAATTTCAAGGCTATTAAGGATTAAATGTTACTTTGAAGAATGACAACATTATAGCATAGTTTGTTGTTCTTCCAAACTCTGAAAATTAAGCCATAATAATTTATCTTAACAGCATTCTTAAAATTGTTTACCTTTTCTGCTTTGTGCCAGTTATTTGTTCTGTCATTTTTGGGACATTGGGAATGAAACAACTTTAAGATGCCAGAGCAACTCATTGTAATTTCTTGTGTTATGTTTGCTTACATATATTACGTCTGGTGATGCAGCCAAGATAAATCTTTCTATGAATACTGAGAGCAAAATTGAAGATATTTTTGCTTTTTGTTCCAACTGCATCAGTGAGTCAGTCAAGCTAAATTAGAACATGTTCATTTATTCTGTAGGCGTAACTGGCGATACCATTTTTCCAAGCCTCAAAGGTTCATGTATGTTAAGATCCCAAGGGCAAAACAAAGCAATTACAAGCTAGCAACGGCATCTTGCATTCCAGAATCGACAATGATGAGTTTATAATTCTACCAGAGGAAGTGCAGCCATATATATACGTATATTCACACACATCAATATTATTTTTTAAAATAAGTAATTTGCCTGTGACAGTAAATTCCAGACATCATTTCAAGTGTGTGAAAGAGCATAACTCATTTGTGACTGTAGCTCTCATGAATTAAGGTTCTTTCAGGCTCATACAAAAACGCTATCATAACTCATTGTCCCTGTTGAGATATCTTGTGTTACCATCATCTGTTTCAGTTTGTCTGAGTGAATGGCAAAGCTTTCCTGGGGATTTTTCGAAAGATAGCCAACTGACTATACACTTATGTGCTGTAACAATGGTAAGGTTGCAGCCTGTTTAAAGGGATGACAATTATAAAGTTTTCCACTAATGCTTGGGAGAGCAACTTAATATTACGTAACATGGCGTAAAAATAAGAGTGAAAATGCTCTTAAATGTAAGAGCAATAATTGTGGAATCAATATTGGTCAATCAAGCCTACATCTTCCAATTAAGATATACATTCGCCACTTATTTAAACAGCAAAGGGAAGCATTAATACTCAGACATCCCAAAGCATTTAAACCAAAATCCAGTATACTCATTAATCTGCATGGTCCCATATTCAACTGCAGCTGCTTTTCTCCATGAAAATATTCTTCCCAAAAGATGGTAGTTTAGTCGATGAGAAAAATGTGTAATCAAAGCAGAGAATGCTGGAAATACTCAGCAGATCAGGCAGCGTCTGTCAAGAGAACACTAGAATTCCCAGCAGGGCATGGTGGGCACTGTCAGTACTACTGTAGGCTCAGGCAGATGGATAGTCATGGACATTCTTGACCAAGGTAGTAAAGAGGCCTTGCCAGTCAGGCAAGCCTCAGCTAGGGGTGTCCTGCTGTGTTGGTGACCCTTGCTACTGGTGGTCACACTGTAGGACAAAGATTTCCAACCAGGAGGGACAGCCCATGCCAATTTGAGGTGTCAACCTGATGAAACTATATCAGATGACAGTTTGCGATCTAAGCAATGGAAGCAGCACGTGACAGACTGAGTTAATGATCTCATAATCAATGGATCAGATCAAAGCTCCACATCCATGTCTCTTACAATTATAAATGGGGGAGGACAATTAAATAATGAGAAGAGAGAGATATAAAAGCACGACATGTAGCATTTGCCTTCTTCACACACATGCTTACTTTCAGCGATCAGTGTACAAATGTAGCCAGGTCTCATTACTGCTCCTCCTTTCCCAATCTAGCACCAATTAGATAATAATCTGCCATCCAGTTTTTGCTACCAAATTAGATAAATTTTATCCATTTTATACTCCAACTGTCATGCATTTGCCCATTCACTCAATTTGTCCAAATCACAGTGAAGCACCTCTCCATCCTCTTCACAATTCACAGACTTCCCTCACCAATGCCTGAGATCAACCAGACCAACAACAAAATCCCCTGGCGTGTTCAATGCTGTGACTGGTGCACAGGACCCCAAAAAGGAAAACTGCTGTACCCCTTGGAGCAGCTGACTTCACTCACCGATGTCCGGGATCGACTAGGAGTGGCCATTTATCCAGGGAATGTGGTGAGGCTGAAACTCAGAGGTTCTAAGACCCCTTCCCCAGCATACTCCTGACGAACATCTAAACTGTTGAGAACAAAATGGATGAACTTAAAACCAGACTCAACTTCCAAAAGGAATTGAGGGACATCTCTGCGCTCTGTTTTACCCCTGCTCTAGCTGACTGTGCCTCATAACCTGAGGGTTTCTCAATTCATTGAATGGACAGCTCAGTGTCCTCAGACAAAGCAAGGGCCAGTGTGGTTTACTTCCCGATCAACACTTCTTGGTGGTGATCCTGGCAAGTTACTGCTCCCTGGACCTATAATATCTTACAGTAAAGTGCCGTCCCTTCTACCTGCTGCACAAGTTCACCATTATTATTCAGACCGAGGTCTGCATCCCACTCCATGCGGAAGTGAAGAGTGCACTCAATGAAGTATACAATGCGATAAACAGTCTTGAGGCGGAATACCCCAAAGCATGGTTCATCGTAGCTGGTGACATCAACCAGGCTGACCTCAAGAATGTGCTATCAAAATATCATCAATATATCTCCTGTCCCACCAGGGCAGTAGAACATCCTGGACCTTTGCCACACAACCATCAAAGATGCCTACCACTCCATCCTCCCATCCCATTTTGGAAAATCAGATCACAATGTTGTGCTCCCCCTCCCAGGTTACAAGCAGGAATTGAAGCGTGAGGACCCCGTACAGAAAGTAGTTAGTTTAAGGAAACAGAAGGGCCTCTACGGGACTGCTTAGAGTCAGTGGCCAACCTAAGTGGGTATGCCATTGCCATCACAGACTTCATTAGTAAGTGTGTGGAAGATTGCATGCTGAACAAGTCATTCAGAACGTTCCCCCAACCAGAAACCATGGATGAATTGGGGAGATCGATTCCCTACTGAAGTTTAGTCTGAGGCAGCCCTGACCTATGCAGGAAATTCAGGTATGTCCTTCCTAAGGCCATCAGAGATGCAAGAAGCAGTACTGAACAAAGCTTGAAACCCAGACTAACCACAAGATACCCATCATTTGTGGCAAGACTTACATGACATAATGGGCTACAAAGCGATGTCAGACAGAAACACGGGCAACAGTACATCCCTACTAGATTAGCTCAATGCATTCTACACTTGCTTTGAACAGAACATCAGTGAAACTATATCATCTATCCCAAGAGCCTCAGATGTACCTGTACACATAGTCACTGCTGTAGATGTTAGATCGACCTCTTAGAAGTGAAACCATGGAAAGCGATGGAGTCTGCAGCTGTGCCTCAGATCCTGTGTGGACCATCTCGTAAGAGTATTTGCAGACGTTTTCAACCTCTCCTTACTATGATCTGAAGTGCCCATCTGCTTCAAGAAGACCACCATCACCCCAAAGAACAGTCATGCAGCATGCCTCAATGACTGCCCCCTGGTGACTCTGATGTCCATAATTATGAAGTGCTTTGAGAGTTTAGTCATGGCTCACATCAACTCCAGCTGCCCAGCCTGCCTTGATCCTTTACAATTTGCCTACCGGAGCAATAGGTCTACATCAGATGCTATCTTCCTGGCCCTGCACTCATTCCTGGAACATCTGGATAACAAGGATATCAATGTCAAGCTCCTACTTACTGACTACAGCTCAACCTTCAACACCATAATTCCAAACGAACTCATGTCCAAACTCCGGGACCTAGGCCTCTGCTCCCCGCTCTCTAACTGGATTCTTGACTTCCTGACTAACAAGACCGCAGTCAATAAGGATAGGTGACCACACCTCCTCCACCATAATCCTCAATACCAGTGCCCCGTAAGGCTACGTACTCCACCCACTATTGTACTCCTTATACACTCACGAATGTGTGGCCGCAGACTTGGTTCAAGCATGGGCAAAGGAGCTAAACTCAAGCGAAGAGGTGAAAATGACTGCTCTCAACAAGGCTACATTTGACCTGTTATGGCATCAAGGACCTCTGGCAACATTGAAGTTAATGGGAATCAGGGGATATTCTCCATTGTTAAGAGTCATAACTAGCAGAGAGGAAGCTGGGTATGGCTGTCAGAGGGCAATCAGCTCAACCACAAGACATCACTGCAGGGGTTCCTCAAGGTAGGTGACTAGACCCAACCATCTTCAGCTGCTTCATCATAAAGTCAGCAGGGAAGGCTTGCTAATGATTGTACAATATTCAGCACTATTCGCCACTCCTTGCATATAGAAACAGACCGTGCCCTTCGGTAGCAAGACTTGAATGATATCAATGAGTGGTAATTAACATTTATGCTATCTAAGTATCAGGCAATGATCATCACTAATAAGAGTAACTGAACCATCACTCCTTGACATTATGCCATTTATGGTTTTGTATAAGTTTATATATAATGTAGGACAGTTAGTCAAGCTCGATTGAGTCAGATATTATGAAGCTTATTTGAAACACTAACTATTTACAAGGTTACAATATTACAGAGTGAAAGGCATAGTTTTGAGCTCTATGCTTACAGATGTTATTATACACTACACACATTATACAGACTAACATTGTGATTTTGTGTAATTGTCTTAAAGATCTGTTTG